AGTTGGCAAGTGTCACTGCGGCGTCTTTGGCCATTATCTTTGAAAACTCGTGGAGATCAGGACAGATCCCAAAAGACTGGAAAAAGGCAAACGTAGTGCCCATCTTTAAAAAAGGGAAGGAGGACAATTCAGGGAACTACAGACCTATCGGCCTTACCTCAGTCCCTAGAAAAATCATGGAGGGAAACCTCAAGGAATCCATTTTGAAGCACTTGGAAGAGGGGAAAGTGATCAGGAATAGTCAACATGGATTCACGAAGGGCAAGTCATGCCTGACCAATCTGATTAGCTTCTATGATGAAGTAACTGGCTCTGTAGCTATGGGAAAGTCGGTGGATGTGATATACTCTGACTTTAGCAAAGCTTTTGATTCGGTCTCCCACAATATTCTTGCCAGCAAGTTAAGGGAGTACGGATTGGATAAATGGACTATAAGGTGGGCCCAACAGGTAGTGATCAACGTCTCGATGTCAGGTTGGCAGTCGGTTTCTAGGAGAGTGCCCCATCTGTTCTTGGAACAGTTTTGTTCAACATCTTTATTAATGACCTGGATGAGGGGATGGATTGCCCTTGATGAGGTTTAACAAGGGCAAGTGTAGAGTCCTGCACGTGGGAAGGAAGAATCCCAAGCATTATTACAGGCTGGGGACCAAATGGCTAAGGAGCAGTTCTGCAGAAAAGGACCTGGGATTACAGTGGATGAGAAGCTGGATATGAGTCAACAGTGTGCCCTTGTAGCCAAGCAGGCTAATGGCATATTGGGGTGCATTAGGAGAACATTGCCAGCAGATCCAGAGAAGTGATTATTCCCCTTTATTCGGCTCTGGTAAGGCCACATCTAGAATACTGTGCCCAGTTCTAGGCCCTCCACTATAGAAAGGATATGGACGCATTGGAGAGGGTCCAGCGGAGGGCAATCAAAATGATTAGGGGGCTGGAGCACATGACTTATGAGGAGAAACTGAAGGAGTTTGTTTAGTCTGCAGAAGAGAAGAGTGAGGGAGGACTTGATAGCAGCCTTCAACTTCCTGAAGGGAGGTTCCAAAGAGGCTGGAGAGAGGCTGTTCTCAGTAGTGATGGATGGCAGAACAAGGAGCAATGGTCTCAAGTTACAGTGGGGGAGGTCTAGGTTGGATATTAGGAAAAACTATCTCACTAGGAAGGCGGTGAAGCACTGGAAGCACTAGGAAGGTGGTGGAATCTCCATCCCTAGAGGTTTTTAAGTCTCGGCTTGGCAAAGCCCTTGCTGGGTTGATTTAGTTGGGATTGGGCTGGACTTGATGACCTTCTGAGGTCTCTTCCAGCTGTATGATTCTATGATTTTCCAATTTAATCTCACAAACTACACAAAAAGATTATTCGACACACCACTTAATAAGCAACCTCCTGTTATTTATAATGTGTAAAGAAGTTACGTGACAGCTGTGAAACACCACAGCGCAACACTACAGAACAATCTAGGATAGAAAATGAATGATTCCACTGTGTTACATGTTTGCCTATCTCCTACTACTCTCTTTAAAACGTTGGTCTACATTCATTCCAAGCCACTCATCTTCACACCCCTTCCTTCTCTAAGGGTACATCTACTCTGCAACACTGTTTTGAAATAACTGGCGATATTCCGAAATAACTTAGTCCGCGTCTACACAGCAGGCAGTTATTTCAAAATAATGTCAAACTACTGTCAAGCTGGAGGACTTCTTACTCCGACTCCTGTAACCCTCATTGTATGAAGAGTAAGGGAAGTCAGTGGAAGAGTGCTCATTTCGAAGTAAGTGCCATGTAGATGCTCCCAATTATGAAATAAGCTATTTCAAAATAAGCTGCGCAAATTGAGCTAAGCCCTGCTGTGTAGACGCACCCTAATTTACCAAATATTTTTACACAATGCCCCTTGAACTCAGAATCTCTTCCCTTTCAACTGTGCCTCATTCAAATCCTTCCATTAACTGCTTTTCTATGAGACCAAGACATGCAGTATCTAACCCAGTTTAATTTTTTTTTACAAACGTATTATCAGTTATTTGGAGATTTAATTTATTTAATTGTATTGTGTGACTGAACTGTTCCTAGCTTAGATATGCACACTCTACACTGCAAACTCCTTCTCTGTTATTAATCTATTCAGTACAGAATATAGTTCACAATTAGTAGGAGCCACTCTCAGTATATCTGGATAAAAGCTAGTAGCTTTGGAAAAGAGAACTATTACTGTAAATCCAAGCCCCTTAACAAAGTTAAGAAAGGCCAGCTGCTCCAGGAAAGCCCTACAGCAGGTCCACCAGGGTAATAAAATAGAGATTGGAAACTTTAAGCCATCTACGAGTACTGGAGGAAAGCCACGAGTTACTGATCTATAGTCTGAGAAGTCTAAATCGTAGAAGCTAGAGCAAGGGTTGGCAATCTTTGAGTCTGAGCTGAGTCTGTTAGGATAATCTGCTGACAGGCAGGCCATGAGAAATTTTGCTTATATTGGCCCCCCACCCCGGCTCCCAGTGGCTGTGGTTTGCCAATGGAAGCTGTGGGGGGCGGCACAGGCTGCAGGAATGTGCTGACTGCTACTTCCCACTGCCTCCATTGTCTGGGAATGGCAAACCTTGTCCTCTAGGAGCTGCAGGGGGCCATGCCTGCGGACAATCAACATAAGCAAAATATCTCATCACCTGCCAGCTGCTTACTGACAGACTGAGAACCAAAGGTTATTGACCCCTAAACTAGAGTCACGGATCTGACATTTTCCTTTTGATTAGTCATCAGAACACTATGGGTGCATCAAGCTTCTTTCGAAAGAGAGCATCCACACCTCAAAACCGGATTGAAAAAGCGATCTGCTTTTTCAAAAGAGAGCGTCCAGACTGCATGGATGCTCTCTCGAAAGAAAGCCCTGATTCACAGAACGGCCACGAGGGCACCTGTGCATTGTTTTGATTGCCTCTTCTTCCGAAAAATGACCCTGTTCTGCATCCACACAGGCCTTTTTCCGAAAGAGCTCTTTCGGAAACCCCCCTGTGTTGAAACCCCCCCCTGCGTTCTTTCAATTTAATTTCGAAAGAACGTGATTGCAGTGTGGATGCAGGTGAAGTTTTTTCAAAAAAAGGGCAGTTTTTTTGAAAAAACCATGTAGTCTAGACATACCCTTTTAACTTAAAGTAGATATATGGTGTTCTCGAGTGTGGACTGCTATAGGTAGTTACACACGTGTTTACACAGCTTGATATAAAATATATTCTAAAAGAGATAGTCTAGTCTGAAAACAGATGCAACTTCCATAAAATCCAGTTGTGTTACGCCAGATAGAATAAATGGGGACTCATCCTGAAGTAATCAATTTATTAATGAAGAAACTGATTTATCCTAGAGGGTGTGTCTAGACTGGCAAGATTTTGCACAAAAGCAGCTGCTTTTACTCAAAAACTTGCCAGCTGTCTACACTGGCCACTTGAATTTGCGCAAGAGCACTGACTTTGTAATATACAAAATCAGTGCTTCTTGCACAAATACTTTCACGCTCCCGCTCGGGAAAAAGCCGTCTTGCGCAAGAATACTTGTGCAAGTGGGCCAGTGTAGACAGGGAAGAACTGTTTTGCGCAAAAAAGCCCCGATGGCGAAAATGGCGACCTGGGCTTTCTTGCACAAAATCGCATCTAGACTGGCCACGGATGCTTTTGCACAAAAGCAAATCGTTTGCGCAAAGGCACTTGCCAATCTATATGGGCTTTTGCGGAAATATTTGTAACGGAAAAACTTTTCCGTTAAAAGTATTTCCACAAAATCATGCCAGTCTAGACGCAGCCTAAAGTGTCTGAAAACAACACGTAGAGTGGGATTTTCAAAATCACTCCAGGTTGGCCAAACTCTGTTTTCATTTAAGAAAATCTTCTACTTTAATCGGAACAAAGTTAGATCAACACTGAGCACTTGTGCAAAAATTCAACTGGACACTAAGTATTAACTTATGTATTTTAATTCCAAATTCTAAAATATGCCTCTAATCTGTCTTCCTGTTCACAACATTTGCCTCTTTATTTACATATGGGTGAAACAATCTGGCTGTGCTTTCAGCTATAAGTTTTCCTTGTCTTGGACCACCATGGTAGTCACAGAGGGAAGACTAAGGGCTTCAGCAGGGTAATGCACTCTATGGGGGTGTGATTGCTATAGCACACCAACATTCTGTACATTATTTGGTCCAAGTAGACCCTGCTGGTGAATACTAAATGAACCTTTCATCCAGTACAGTGCACACCCAATATGTGTGTATACTAATCATTCTAGTGCAAGAAAACCCTACACATGTGGTCTGAAAAATCTCATGTTAGATATTAAAATACAAGCCTCCTTTAATAGGACCCAAGTGCCTAGGCCCCCAACTACACTGCAATGTTTCTGCTAGTTTTGTATATTAGTATCTCTGTTGCAGATGACATACCAACTAGAGAACCACACAGCTAGCCTCCGCAATGAAAGCCATTTTTTAACATCTCTATGGAAGGAAAATTACTAACTAACTGATCACATTAGTTTGTATATTTAGTCAGATTCCCTGTACTGTTACCAAAAGGAGTTGGGATTCTAACTACTGTGGGAATATGATTAGTGCCATAACTGGGCTTAGTAAGATTTGCTTTAGGAGCAACCCCCATGCAGACCATCACTTCTCAGGATTAGAGGGTAATTAAAAATAAACGGTATCTTTCCTACAAGAACAGAAGCACCTTGGATGCACTGAAGTGAAAACAAAAATCCCGCTTTAGTTGATTATCTTATGTAGCATGTTCTTTGCCCCAGGTCATGGTAACTGCCAAGCATATTTGTCACAGATGATTACACTTTAGCAGATTGGCCTGCCAATGCGATTTGAACTTTGCTTAAATTATAAGTCACGTTGCCATCAAAATCAATTTCCCACCATGACAAAAAGGCTACTTAGGCTTTCAAGTACACTGGATTGCAAATGAAAATCTCTCAGAGTGTAACCACAAAGGAGACTCACTCACCTGGGTCTGTAAAAGCAGTAAGGCAGGCGCTTGGTTTCTACTTTCTCAGCTTGAATGAATATTCTCATGTGTGGTTCAAAATATAATATAGTTGTATAGGCTCTGAGTGACCATCGTTCTGGAAGGCTGAAATATCTGGTATGTCAACAAGACCACAAAGCATGAACTCTACTACATGGAGAAAATTAGATGCATAATAACCTAAGATAAGATGCCTACCCCAGGCTCATTAAACTAAAATGCACTGGATCCCCGTCGTGCTCTCTGTAGGTATTAAAAGATTTTTGAAGGTTTTGTCCAGAGTAAATCTGTCAGAACTTTGCCAATAAACTGCAATTTGTACAGTGGGCTTCAGCTGATGGTACTAAAAACTACAATCTAGTTCTTGATTTGGCTCAAAATTAGATTTATAATGGGATGCTGTTGATATACAGTATGAACATCTCACTAACAATGGGATTCACTGCCACATAGCTTCAGGCGTAAAGTAAAGAAAGTAAATACAGTCATTTCCCCATAGTATTATGCCACACATATCTACAGTGCTTTATAGATAAGGAAGAGATGTGAAAATATGAGACACGAGTTCAGTCTGATGAGCTGGGCTGGAGAGCAAAAAGCCCTTCTGGGTAGCCTTGCTCCTCAATCCCTTTCTTATCTCCTTAGTTCTCCTTCTTTTCCTGGTTTCCTGGCTGGAGAGTATGGAGGACTCTCACCCTAGTGGGCTCTCTGGGGCCCCTAGCTTCACTACACTATAGAACGAACAAGAGACTTTCCAGCCAATATCTTTGGGCACCATTCCCCATGCAGGCAGTGGGAGAAGGCCAAGTCAGAAGACAAGCTTCCTGCCTTACCAAAGGGGAGGGGAAGCTGGACAGGGTGAGTGGGATGGGGAAGGAATCTTTACTAAAGCAACCCAAGGACTAGAGAAAGATGACTTATTCTGGTGATATCTCTAATGGATCAAATATATGTGTTTAAAATACTAATGTGAATAAGGCAAAACCATATTTCAGCCAAAAGATATTTTAAGATCATAAGCATGACCCCCACAGACCAAATAGCTTCCACCCCCCAGTGACAAGTACCATTGGTATTTTAAATTATTCACCAGCCCTGCACTTTGTGCTTTCAACAACTTGCAACCAAGTTCTGTCTGCTTCCTGAACACAGCATTAGGGATTGAAGAAAGAGAGTATTCCTAGATCCACACCTATAGCATGCTTGAGAAAACATGTTACATCAGTTTTATCTATTACCAGAACATTTACCCAGCGTTGCTCGGGTCCTTAACTCAATTTTTGTTTTTCTTCATTTAAATCATTGCTCAGGGATGGAGACGGGGATGAGTTCAGTATGCAAGTTTCCCCAGGGAGAGAGGACTATGCCAGTCCTCGGTTACTATAGCAGCGTGGGGCTAGGTGAGAAACACCTCTCCATGGCCACAGCAGCTACAGTGGGCATGGCAGTGGGAGGTATGCATGTCCCCTGACTGAGGCAGGTCCAGGTTCATCTGGCCCCTGTGCTGCCCAGCCAAAATAAGTAATGTAGCAAACTGTGCACTTTCCCCTCGCTCCCTGACGAACAGGAACAGCCTGCCATGTTCCCATATGAATAGGGGTGGGGGAGCTTCAGCCCTTCCATCCTCCCTAAAGGGTTCTGGGGGAAGGGAGTGAGGCTCAGGGCTGCAGCAGTACCAAAAGGTGGGGGAATCCCACTTTTCACCTGCCTGATGATTCAGTCTCTTTTCTGTATAGTTTTATGAGAAGCGATCCCATTTTCCTGACACAACCAAACCTTACCTTGCTTTTAGTTATAAGAGAAAGCTGTATACTGAATTTAATGGTCCTAGCTCTTACCACTTAAGAGGAGCTCTTGAACAGATAGACAGACACATAGACATTGCACAGACAGACCAATAGACAAAATCTCTCAAATATGTAGTAGATGCTACTGGTATAAACTCAGGGTTATCCACAGCATTATGAAAATGCTCAGATTATGATACCAAATCAAACACTTTCCTTTTCACACATTTTTCTTTTTCCTTTTTTTCTTCATAACCTCTCTTCTCGTCCCTTTTAGTTTTTCACATCTTTCCTTTGCCTTCAGATCCCTTCTTTATCTTCCTTTATCTAACTTTCTCTTTATTGTCCCTTCTCTTTACTGTCCTTTCTGAAAAAAAATTACATGTTCCTTTTAATTAAAATGTTCATTCACTTAGGGTATGTCTACACTGCATTCGTCTTTTGAGAAAGGAATGCAAATGCAGCTGAGCGAAACTGCAAATAAAGCGTGGATTTGAATTTCCCGTGCTTCACTTGCATAATGGTGTCTGGGCGCTTTTTCGAAATACCCTATTTTGAAAAAAAAAATCCGCTGTGTAGACTGGGTTATTTTGAAAAAAAAACAAAAAACCTTCTTTTGAAATAACCCTTAAACCTCATTTTTTAAGGAGCAAGGGTTAGTGAGTCCTCTAAGGAAATAAACTGTGGCCACCTACCTAAAGGCTCTATACACAGGATGCTTTGGAAAGATGACGTGCTAAGTCAAGAGTCATCTAAAATCCAGGATACGTTATACTGCTGGTTTTAAGGATTACACCCACTTTTTTACTTGCCTCTAATATTCACGGGCAGTCCCTCAACACTGATCCCAAAGGGGCATCCAAGAGCATACCATCCATTTGTTACAGACAACACAGAGAGCAGTGAATGTTTATCTATTATATAATTTCTCATTTGCCTTGTTTATCCAGTTTTATTAGTAAGTGAATATCGTCATTTGCACAACTGGCCAACCATGCTATATTTGCCTCTTGATCTTATGTTACCTCCTCCATCACTTTGTCAAAGAAAGGCATTTCTGCATCGCTTTTCCCTGACACCTTGGTCTCTTTTCTGAAGGAGAACATATCCATTCCATTCCATTCATAATCAATTGACAGTTCCCTAATGAAATACTTTTACTGATGTATGCAGCCATGTACTACTGATTACAGATATTCAGTCACATCTTTGCTCCAGTAATGTAATTACACCACTTACTTGTCCAGAAGACCGGTAATCATAATATCTGCATGGTCAGTTCTAATATCGAGCTCTGGCTCGCCACTGAGCGTAAGTTTCACATTGTAAATAATGATGAAAGTTCCTGAGGAGAGAAGATATGCATCTTTAATATGCATCTATTAGAATAGCTTTCAAGATCCTTTTCAGGTGCTTCTTTACTTTTTAATCTTGTCAAACTAGCCTGTCTAAATAATATACACAATAGCCAAATAAGGGCAGCTATTTTTGTGGCCTCTTTTAAACTAAAGCCATGGAAATATGTATGTATAACCTACAGTATTGTGTCTGACGCAAATTGAGTTTACAGACACTGAGGGCTTGTCTAGATACAGCTAGTACAGAGCAAGCTGGGATGTAAACATTTCACATAGAGGATGGTCAAATGGCACTGGGCAAAGTTAAGGCATACTAGAAGGCTCCATATGACCAGGTAGACCCCAGTTGCACACTAACTCAAAACAAGGCCTAAAATTAAGACAGTCAGAGCAACAGGAGAGAGAGGGTGAATTCAGCGATCAGGCTGAAGGAGAAAACAGACACTTTCTTAGGAATCAAGAGAGGAGATGGAGAGTGAGAGAGAGACTCTTCCCAATGGAAGGTGATGCTGAGGACAAGGCTCTTGAATTAAGCATTACAGTGTGTAAAAAGACAGAGAAGAGGCTAGTCAGATAAGAAGGACGAGCAGAGAGGAAATCTAAATAGTCAGGACCAAAGTGCATGGAGAATTACAGAATTCTTTCTAGACGTTTTTTCATATACACGTGCCAGTTTTGACATTCAAATAAAATATACACATTTTACTCTCTTTATAAGAGCTGCCAGACTGTAGGGTAAACACCCCAGTACTTCCATTTTCTTATTAATAAAAACATCTGGCCAAATAAGAATTTCAATAATTGACCTTCACGATAAGCGTTAAAAGCAAATTGCCTCTCTAACAATAATTCAGTACAGCTGTGTTTTAAAGAACTGCTTACATGAAAATTGCATTGCTTGGTAAAGCTTACCACTTCTCCCATAGATTGCATCAAATTGCTGCAGCAATTCAGTTTCACTGTTAAAAGGGGAATATTTAAAGATGATAGACATCTGTACAGTGAATTTCTCAAGATCACTTATGACAGGTTTTCTAGTGCTTTTTGACCAGGAGGTTATTGGGACGATCATCTGTATAAAAATTGTGAAAACAATATTTCAGGGACAATTACATATTAAATAGTAATAGACTAAGTTGAATATTTTTGATTGTTCTGGTTTCATTTTATGTTTAATTATTTTTTGGAGAAATTGTAATCCTACAATTATTTTTAAGATAAACAGGTTTACACAATCAAGATACAGAAAGCTACTAATTAAAAATCAAATCAATACAAAAACAAAACCACAGAAGAAATCTGGTAAAAATTAGATTCAATTTTTTATTTCCCAGACCTGGGATTTGCCATCCTATAATGTATCACACACACAATTTCTGCAAAGTGACTAGGCTCAGGCCTGACAATAGGGACTATTTTAGAGGCAAACATCAATGCCTAGCTAAGGACTTAAGGAAATCAGTTCTAGCACCTGAAGAAGGCGGCTAGCACACTACTAACCTGGGATTATGAAAAACCAGGTTCAACTCTTCTCTGCCACAGTCCTTGTGCACCAAATGCAGGTAATATAGTACCCTACTGAACAGGGTGTAGAATGGTCAAGAACATTAATGACTCAGATTCTACAAATGGCCCCCAATACCAAACACCTAAGAAAGACTGCTTTAGAACACACACAACAATGAAGATACCTTACAAGGCCAAAAAAGAGTTGCCAAAATAAATAGTAATCATTGGAAAATTCAATTATTTTCCTCCCAAATAGAAGAGCCTATTTCTCTTATGAAAAGCTATACCGTACTATAAAGAGGCAAAATCACACACAGAGAGACAAGTTTATTAGGGAAACCTGTCACTGCTATCCATGGTTACAGAATCATTGTATTATAAAGTACTAGAAGTGGAAAGGACCTTGAGAAATCATCAAGTCCAGTCCCCTGCCCTCATGGCAGGACCAAGTGCCATCTAGAACACTAGATCATCCCTGATGTCTCTCCAATCTGCTATGATTACAACATCTTCATATTCAATACAGAATGTGTGTCAATGCAGAATGGAACTATTGAGGGTTTACATGACAGTTGTGCCAAACCCTTAGGGTATCAAAATTTGTCCTTTTGAAAAATTCTGAACTTCAAACATTCCCAAGCAGGGAATTCATTTTAAACACAATGGGAACTATTCTCAACTAGCCAGGGACATAAAATTTTCCTGGGATGCAAGAGAGTAGAGCAGTGTTCTAATAAAATATAAATCTGTTTTTTCCTCCTTTTTTGTGAGACCGAGACAAGAGAGTGGCCCATTTATTCTCATAAGCTCGAGGGTAAAGCCCAATTTACAGAGGAGAAGGGTAATTTGTCAGTCATGACCTAAAGCCAAGAGAAAATGGGCTTCATATTTAAAACAGCTGAAATTACTGACTTGCCAATAAATTCTCTCATCTGTACTCGTTCTTTTTCTGGTGTCACATCCATCTCTATTCAATTCTCAGTGTGTTCAAATAAAAGTGTCCAGTTCTGTATTTGGTCATTCAGATGACCTCTTGGGCCATGTCTACACTATACACTTCTGCCAGCATAGCTATGTTCCTGAGTGTGTGAAGAGGTGTGATCCTCAACAGACATAACTGTCAAAAGAAGCCCATAATGTAGGCGCAGTTAAACTGGCATTACTGTGCTTTTACTGGCAAAGCCTGTTTCTCTTGTGGGATGGTGAAGATATTAGTAGAAAGCACAGCTTTGTTAACACAAGTGGTGTTTTGCTGGTATAGTATATTTATACCAGTAAGTACCCTTATGAACACATGGTGTTGGGTTACATCTACACTACAAGACAGGGGTGTGGTTCCCCTGATCCTGTATAAATCTCATGGTAGCTTGATGAGAACTAGCACAAGTATAAATAGCAAGATAGCTGTCATAGAGGCAGTGGCATCAAAGCCATGGATGAGCCATGATGAGTACATATCCACGTTTCAGGCAGATTTGTACACAGTTCGACTCAGCTGTGCCTACGCTGCCACTACCCGTTCTACTCTAGCTACACTGCCACTTATGTGCATGCTGTCCTCCAGGTTAGCACAAGTATGTGTGCACAAACAGTGCAATCACGCCCATAGCTTGTAGCATAGGTATAGCATTTAAGGATTCCAGGTGTTGTTTTACAAGCAGACATCCTATTAAGATACTCTTGCTGTATTTTTCATTTCTCATGCCTCTCTTTCATTGATCCCTCTTTTCTCTTACTTTTGTTTTCAGTTCCATCCCTCACTCGTCATATTCCTGAGCTTTACCTTGTTCCTTGCTACACTGACAAACCTATGGGCTACAACATCATACCTCCTTCTTAACCACTCACATTCCAATAAGGAAAGCTACGCCTGAATCTTTCCAAAACCTATCTAGTCATTTTGGGAGACAGAAAGGAGTTGCTAAAGACGGAAGATTCTCACTGGTTCTACCAGGTCGCCATCTGACATAAGATCTGACAGGAAGGGTCCAAACAGTATAAATTGTTGATTGCGATTAAGCCAACAGACTGAAGCACAGGATCAGTTTTGGTCTATGCGTATGCTTCAGATGTCGGCAGAGTGTACTACCTGATAAAGCTCTACTTCACCAGTTCCATAAAGAAAAATAAAATAGAAACAAAGCAGACTTGGACAACTTTTTCTCTACATGAACAGCCATTTATGTACAGGCAGTCCCCGGGTTACGTACTAGATAGGGACTGTAGGTTTGTTCTTAAGTTGAATTTGTATGCAAGTCGGAACTGGTACATATTGTAGGGGAAACTCTAGCCAAACATTTCTCCAGAGCTCAGTTCTATTCTCCCACACCTCACTTCCCTCAGTCCTTTATTCTCAAGCTGAGGTGTCTGCTGAGAAAAGCCGCTCCGCGTCTCCCTGGTCTGCTGGGGGGGTGGCGCTAGCTTCGCGTCTCCCTGGTCTGCTGCGGGGAAGCAGCTAGTGCGGGGTTGCCTCACCCCGTTTGTAAGTAGGGATCCGATGTAAGTCGGATCCATGTAACCCGGGGACTGCCTGTATTTCATAAACAACATTTCTAAGGACAAATGAGAAGTTTCATTTATATTAATAAGCAATAATTATTAAAACATAACTGTGACATTTTATGCCAGGAGTGATCAACCTAAACCTGTGAAGGAGCCAGAATTTACCAAAGCACATTGCCAAAAAGCAACAGTTCTGTGTCACCAGCCTTGATCATCTCCCTACCACCACTCTCAGCACATCCTGCTCACGGGCAGCCCCACCAGTCAGTGCCTCCTTCTCCTTCTCCTCCTACCCACTGGGATCAGCTCTCTCTCAGTGGGAGACACTGGAGGGGGGAAGCATGGGTGTGACAGGCTCAGTGGAGTCGGTAGGAAGTGGCAGTATCCTAGGAGGAAAGGGTGGAGGCGGACACTGCCTAGGGTAGAGCTGGGAGTTAAACAGTGAGCACCCTCCGGCCCAGTAGAAAGTTGGCACCTGTAGCTCCAGCCCTGGATTTGGTACTTATGTAAGGAGTTTCTGAAGAGCCACATGTGGCTGGAGGCACAAGTTGGCCACCCCGTTCTATGCTTTGAGACAGCCCCTGGTTAATTGCCGTATTCCTCATTTATATATAATTGTGATCTTTCATATAAAGCCTGCCATGCGAGGTATCGGGAGACAAAACAATGATTTTCACCAAATCGTAACCTATCTAAATATGTGTATCTCGAATACATATGAAGTTATGAGATTGTGTTGTATGGTTATCACTAATACATGCTGTAAGTTGGGGAATTAGCTAGATAAGCTTCTGAGTGACAATAGAAAGTAGAGCAACCAATGTCCGGGTGAGGTGACAAACAACTATCAACAGCCATTGACAACAAGGGAGATACAATTCAGTGACTCACCTGCGTGAGGCCACACCAATTGCGCAACCTTGCCTGGGGATTCAGTATTGCCCGCCCGACATACCTGGACTTGCATCCTCCAAGCACATGGGACTAAGGGTATAACAGAGACCACAGAGGTCCCATGCTTGCTCTCTCTCTCCTGCTCCCATCTATACTGCAAACAACTAAGACACTGAAGACTTCAACAGAGGACTTGCCCAGGTTTCTAGGACGAAAGCTGTGTACTACGTATTGCCATATCCAATAGGTGTGAAAAACTTCTTAATCCAGTCATTGCCCAGCCTCATAGGGCAATGCTTGCCTGCTTGCTGATATTTTATTTGTTTTGGTAACTAATTCTGACTTTTTGTCTATCATTTAATGTCACTTACAATCAATCTTTTCTGGACAATGAATTGTTTAACTGTTTATCTTTACCAGTCAGTTTGCCTGAAGTGTTGGCAGTGGCACAACAGTGCTTCCTCAGGTTTGCAAAGGCTGATGTATATATTCGCTTTCTATTGATGAAGTGGTGAACCAGTTAATACATTTGCACTGCTCATCTATGAGGGAGGGATTCATTTAGGGCCTTTCTCTCTGTGACTCATGAATGGCTTGGGATCATTCGTTCAATCTGGGTGTGGGGTTGTGCTGAGGGATAACATCACCTGGAGGAGTTTGTTGCTTATCCCTAGCAAAGCATTGAGAGACACAGCCTAGGCTGCAGAGTAGAGGATACAGTCGACCCTGGGTCTGCACTCTGGAGAATCCCATCACAGTAACATTCACAGCAATCGTGGTAGGTGTTTTAAAAGTGCCACTCACTCAAATGATCAAGAAGGCTAAATTCCGTCCAATTTCAGTGGGATCTAAGCACTTCATAGTCTTGCCTATGGTCTATTTGAAAGTATTTAAAAACAAATGATAAAAAATGATACCTCATCAATGCCTTCTGTTTCACAGAATGTTTGAGAGAAGAGAACACTTGTCATTGTA